GTCAGACGGATGAACAGAGGGAAGGAGACAGACAGATACCGAGGTCGAACCTTCAAAGGGAGAGCAACAGAAGCTGAGTCAAAGGAGAAAAAAAAAGAAAAAGAGCTATGGATGGATGCACTGCTGATAGCCCTAAATCACAGCACGCCTCTGTGCCTGCGCCGGTGTGTTGACACAACCTCGGCCAACACTCAAGGACGCTGTTGACTTCCTCAGGTCATTAACAGATGAAAAATTACTTAATTGAGAGCCAGACCAGCAGGCGTGTGCATTATTTTAAGTGAATACAGTAATATAGCTTGAAGAATAATTACTAATGGCTCTCTTTGTTGGCATGTAAAATGGATGAGCATTGGTGCACTGTGGCTTTTTTAAAGTGGAGCTGCATTCATTAGCTATGGAAATGGTTTTTGGGCCAAGTGAATGAGGTGGGGTGGGGGTTCAGCGGTGCATTAGATCTACCTAACACTAATGGATGTTGCCTCATGGAAGAGAAAGTACACTCAGACACATACTCGTGCGGATTAATGAAAGCACGCATGCATTCACAAATGAGGGTTTCACCTTTTCTGATGGATGAATGTTCAAACTCCAACAGGACTTCGAAATTGTCTGTGTGTATTTGTCCTTACCAGCAGCGGACTGTAGTAGGCTGGCCCCAGGGTTGTGTCCTTAGGAGGGGGCTGTTGCTTACGGAGGACACCCCGGGCATCCTCTTCATAGCCATAGGCCTGGCCCGGGGAGGGAATGGATGGAATGTCTGACTGAAGAGCTAGCCGGAGACCTTTAGCCTGCAGCCAATGCAAAGAGAAAAAAAAGGCAGGAGAAAAGCAGAAAGAGTAAAGCAAAAAGTCAGGGTTTCTGTTGGAAAAAAATGCCCTGGCTTACAAAGCAGCTGAGCACTGCCTGGGGCCAATAAAAGACGAGACTGAGAGAGGGACAGAGCAAGAGGGAGAACCATAAATGAGGGACAGAAGATCAGCAAAAGATAGTGAGGGCACGATGAAGAGAAAAAGAAGTAAAAAGTAGAACTGCACCAGTGCAATAGAAACCAGAGATACTGAGGGAACATAAAAAAAAGAAATCGAATGAAAAAAATGCCAGGAAGTTTTTCTACTGACTTTCTGGGATCTGGGAGTAATGTAAATGTACATTCTTGCTTTTTGGTTAATTACAACTAGCATAAAAAAATAACGCCAACTAAGACGCTCGCATTCAGCTCTGGAGGAGCAAGTTTCAAACGCACCAAGTTACCGTAGGTATCCACTAATATCCACAGATAACAGCTTGTAAAGCACTTACTTAAAGCTGATTTTTGCATATATTCTTGAAAAAATTACAAAAGGGATAAACAAGATACTGTGTCATTCATTACCATTATTCCATAGTTCATATATGATATAGAATGCGAGTTTGCAAGTGCACTCAACACTCAAACCAGCACAAACAGGATGAAGAGTCTTCTGTACCAGCTTTGGATTGTGCAAGTCTCTTCTACTTGCTTTATTCTAAGAATAGCAGTATTAAAATGGGTATTACGCCTGCCAATGGGATTTTGCCCAAAATGTACACCAAACACAAAGAGTTAGAAAAGTTTGAAAGGCCAAGAAATAACAGCACTAAAGTGGATATGCGGGCATATTCAGCATTATAAAGCCATTGCCATCTATGATAACTGAGTATTTCAGAAGAACAGATGTATGACATAATACAAGTGCAAGTGTCAGTACTACTCATGTACTATGCCCTCCTATCTTCACCCATATGCTTACCACTTTGTTGCCAGGCCTTCCAGGGTGTCCTACATTAGCTGTCACAGCCCTGTGTGCCTTTTTTGAGGCAGGCGACACATTGTAGGCCCCAGGGCCTGGAACCTCTGACACCACATCCTCAAAACGCTTGGAGCGGTTCTGAAGACTGCTGCCACCATGGACATTTAACTGAAGAGACAAGGGTTCAACAGAAAGCCAAGCAAAGAGAGAATAAGGCTGGTATCAAAAAATATATTTCTTAAAATATTTGTTTTAAACCATGGACAAGCAACATCGTCATTTAGCTTTTGTAAATTAAATGGATCACTCACCTTGACAGGTGAGCAGTCATAGTGTCCAGGTCCTAATAAACTCTCACTGTCTTTGGAGAATATTGATTGCCTGGCACTCAAGGAAAGGAATGGTGCATAGCCATCTGCAACAGTGAAAATTTTCCCAAGGTAAGATATACAAATGACTGCAAGCTTGCAGGACGCTTTATTTTCTAATACACTTATGTAACTGTGAAACAACAAAGCAGCAGGAACATTTTTTGCTTACATATTTTGTTATACTTTCAAGACATTAATTTAACTTTTATCAATTGAAAGTGTATAAGCAGATTCAAATCTGTAAGCCTAAATATTCGACGTTCTTTCTTTGCAAGCTAGCTAAATTTAATTTAAGTTAACTTAAAGTTTTACAGTTTTCTGAAGAAGAAGAAAAATGATTTTGGAAGGACAGATATTTTTCCTTGTAAGTACCTGATATCTTGTAACTGGACTGGCTCACATTGTATGATCCGGGACCAACAGCAGACGATGCACCCCCTGCTTTCATGAAGGTCACTCTTGGAGCCCGTCCGTACATGTTTAACTCACAGAGTGGTAGTCTCGCTAAAATGTAATTACACAATAAATACTCCTTCTTTATTCTGTGATAGGGTGTAGCTGTACTTTCATTAAATTATGCTGCACCAAGGTTAAAAAATGCCTGCCCTGTGCTCCCCTTTGTCAGGACTGCGCTGGTTACTTCGCCTGCATAGTTGCTTGGTTACCACATATTGTTACACGGCAACTGCAGACCGAACACACACGGAGGAGGAGAAGTAAGCAGAAGGACCACAGAGACAAGACAGGCGAGTGAGAGACGTGGCACTCTGAGAACTGAAGTTCATGGGAGAATTCAGAAGAAGAATACAAGCTCCTACATATTTATATCTGTCATAGTACCAACTGCTCTCCAAGTGGAACACCTGACTTTCTCTTCTCCTCCTGCTGTTCTATTTTTCTTTCTCTCCCTCGTGCGTGGTTGTGCTAGTGAGCATTAATTTTGCTCGCCTCCTCCCGGATTGGGCGTGGCTTTTCCAAGCTCCCGCTGCAGCACCTGTGCACCATTATTCGCTCACCTGTTGTATTTCAGTCCAGCTCGTTCCGCTGCTCGTAGTTAGCTCGTTTACCGACCCAGTGTAGCAACATAGCTGTTCTCTCTGCTCTCCTACTGGACGAAGCATATCTTCGGAACATAAAGACAACCTGTGAGAGTAAACTAAGAAACGTGCTTTTGACTTGAGGAAAGTCTAAGTCGTGATTGCTTTTAGTTAAAAATCACTGCCCTGTAGCCTAATACTTAGTATATATATGTAATGGAGAACAAATGTATCAGATTTGACTAGTGCTTCTATGCTTGTAGTTTTGGATTCCAGGCAGCAGTGAATTTAAATTTAATTTAGGTAGACTATTACTTCCAAATAAGTCCCCAGAGACATTTCAAGATAGCTGCGGAGTGGCGAGACTTCCTGCTCGAAGGACTGGTATAATTAGCCCACAACGTCTGGAATAAAAAGCTCTTTGAAAGCTTGTAAGGGTCAAGTCGACAAACCGTTTAGCTTTTACCTGATTCAGTGGTGTCTCTATGGGAGGGAGGGGATTGAACTTCAAGCAAATTTCAAAAAACTACTGAAATAAGAGTGAGACTTGCTTTTGGAAGGACTTTGAAGAGACGTATCAGCATTTATTACCTGTATCACCTGTACATTTTTTTTGTAACTCTTGTAGTACTGCTTATGTTACATTATTGGCCTTTTCTGGCATTTTTTATTCATGGAGGGGGCTTTTTGTTTTTGTTTTTAATTAGAGCATTAGCCTCTATAGTTATTGAAGCCATAGTCCCATCCTACCATCTAGTGGTTGAATGTGACAGAGCCTCACCCCATCCCACCCACCACGACCACTACACTAGTAGTAGTACTACTGATTTACATTTTTGACCAGTCTCAGTTCATTCTTGACCCACTTCTTCCTGCCCCACAATGTAGTTAAGGTTTGGATAATGAGAACTCAGGGGAAAGCTATGCAAGTAACAAGTAGCTCTCTGAGGGGGGCACTGAACTGCATGTATACTTGAATTTCCCTTCACGTCTCTTAGTTAGTAGAGTGTGTCTTTGACTGGACAAATCTCATTAACGTTACACAGCACATATGATATCTTAAAGATATATTCTCAAAGACCATCTCTGACAACTCAGATGGTGAGTCTGAATTATCATAATTGCAATAGTGATATCCTAAAAGCAACTGTATTTATTTATTAACCCATCATGTATTCATATTTTCTTAAGACTCGTATTACAGTTTCACACCTGGGACTCCTTGCATTTCTATTATTCATGTTGCTGACTGGAAAACTGTGCCATTACCCAAACTCTGAGAGTACTTCTAATAACACTTTGTAACCTAGAAGAACTTCATGTAATAAATGCTTTCATTTTCTGGCTGTGGTTTAATAAGCAGCTGTTAACATTTCCTTTCTCATAAACACCAGAAAGCAGAGCGATTTTTAAACTGAAAAATACAAAGCATGCAGTATTTGTGATGGGAGAAGGAAACTGGACAAATCACGACAGAGATGTACATCGTAGATAACTGACTAAACACGTAACAACGATGGGCTGCTATTTAGCAGTCATTTTAACAGTTTGGGTTCAGCTAAATAATGGTTACACATACAAATTATAGTACATTTACGTTGGGGAAGGGCTGATAGAAATAAGGGGTACGATGGAGATGGGGAATACATCCACCAGAGGGCAGCAGGTTGCCTCAGATGAGTCTAACCTGTTTTAAATTCACGTGAAGGCAATGCTGCTTCTCATGAAAACGGAAAACACAATACCCAGCCGTAAGAGACTAAAAGGGATTAAAATGCATTCAGTAGTATATCACTGAATATTTATAGTGTTTCTATATAGAATTTTTTGTATATTTAGATATATAGAAAGTAGATTGTAGATTTAATGCAATTATTTGCAAATAAATCTAGCAAAGCACTAATTCCCACTAAAAACGATTTCTTTATTCTTTTAGTGGACTGTAGTTCATATATTTGTTCTCTATCTGAGAAAATAAAGCCGTGTTAAAGGGTGTTAAATGTATTAATCAACTCTGCAGGTAATCTTTTACTAAAGTCTCCCAAATGGCAAGTCGGGAAAGGCGAAGATCGAGAATTTTACAAAGCGTCCGTGAAAGCGCCACAAGTTATTTCCACCGTCACGGCCAGCGTCGGTCATCGCCCGGCAAGGTGTCGCTTTCGGCAGCTAATTACCCGTTTTATTCCTCGTTTAAGTGAAAGATTTTGATACACATTTACTTTTGACACCCTCGGCACTTGGGGCCATGGAAAGAATCAGGTTTTTCGTGTTTTTCTTGGTGCTTTCCGCGTCTTTGCTGGGCAAAGCCGAAGCGGGCAGGAGCAGGACCAGCAACCAGAACAGCTTCCGACGGGCAGCTAACGGCATCTATCAGACTCTGAGCAGCGTCTTCGGAGAGGACAACATTAGAGGGTTATACAAGGTCAGTTAGGCCCATATCATGCTAAGTCGGCGGCTGGCTTTGTTCATGAGCCTCATCGTAGCTGCCATTACGGTTTGTGGTCCAAGCATGGCGAACAGGAAAAGGCCTGGTTAATAATTCCACGGATGCCATTTTGGGGGAAAAAAGCCTTTATCGCCCCCTTTTTCTGTTTAAGTCGGTAGAAAAAGCCTGGGTATAAAATCGTAGTAAAAACAAAAACGTGCTTCGTGTTCTTACATTCTTATTTGTGTGTGAAGCCAAATCAAGCCACGAATGAGAGAATCTAAATTTAAATAAAATAAGTATAGCTTCATTGATTCACAACATAACCGCCTTTATGTTTCTTTATGTATTAGAAATCTGCTCTTATTAAGGAACTAGTGGGGCCTGCTCAAGTGATCTCATTGGCCCTGCGGCATTTCCTGCATTTTGAAATGTGATGTTATTTCCTGCATTAAGCCGCCAAAGCATAATTAAGTCAGATATGTTGAGTTGAGTAGTTTTTCCTGTAGACTTAACAGTGTAACATGGAGCTTCATGTCTTAGTGTGCATCTGCTTACCTGATGAACATGCAAATAATGAGTGCCTGATTAAAGTTATGGCGTAAGATAGTGATGTGTGGATGTTAAACCACTGTCTCTGATACTTACATCAGCCTTTGTGACTACTTAAATACAGCTGTAAATGCTTCATTGCATCTGTGACTTTTCCAGCAATGTTTATGTGTGCTGTGAAAAAGAGCTACTAAAGCGGGCAGCCAAAGGGTTCTTATGAAAACACTGCTTTCACGGTGTAATAAAAGCACCTGCTGCTGTAATGATAATCCTGTATGGCCACTGTTATATCAACACATTAGCTACCTGTCCATTTGAGAGTGAAAAATAGTCGGTTGCCTGGAGAGTTGGTAAACAGGGGTTTGATTTATAGCTGCAGAGACCATGGTGTTGGGTCACTGCCAGATCAAAAGTTGTAACACACCCATAACTGCCCTTCCTGGTTTTATTGCAGTTCTTTGCATACTTTGCATAGAGTCCCTATGAGCACAACATCATTCATAATATAGGTTATGGACTGAAAAGCCACCAAAGCATTGCTTTATTTAATAGTTGGGAAATGCACATTGTAGTCTGACCAACAGACTGCCATAATTCATAGGAGACGATGATGCACTCAGTACATGGACGTTATTTTTCACCCTGCTTTTGCTATTGGTTGTTTATTTTCTCATAGGTTTTCTCCAAAGCAACGGAGAGGTTTGTCCATGGAGTGGACTCTTTCCTGGACACCATCTGGAAGATCTGGTCGGATCTGCTGGATGTGATGGGCATTGACTGTAAGTCTACAAATTGCTGCTTAAGACATGTCTGTTAGGAATGTCCGAATGATGAAGGCAGGTAAAAAAATAAAAAATGCCAACAGTCCCATGAAAAAATATTTGTCCCCTTCCAGATCCCTTAGTTTATTGCATACTTGCCACACTTGCATGTTTCAGGTCATCAAACTAAATTTAATATTAGACAATATTAATATCAACCAGGGTAACTAAAAAATGCAGTTCTTTAAATTATTTCATTTGATTTATTAAGAGGAAAAAGCTATCCAAACCCGCCTGGCCCTGTGTGTAAAAGTAATTGTGCCTAAATATTGCCAGATGTGTTGAGTGAAGAAATCACTTGAATAGAAACTGTCTGGCTAAGTGAAATTTGCTAAAGGAGCTCAAAAAGCAACACATCATCATGATCTAAAGAAACTCAATTACGGATGAGAAACAAAGTTGCTGATGAAACATGTAAGTGTGACAAAAATCATAAATACTTTTCAACAGCACTGTATGTTTAAAATTCATCTTCCTAGATCGCATCTGAAATTATACATGCTTCTGGAAATAGTTAACAATTTTAACTTCCTCTCGTGTCTCTCCCTTTCTCCCTGTACACGTGTAGCTTCAAACCTCAGCCATTACTTCAGCCCCACATCTCTCACCAACTCCCCAGCACGTGCCCTGCTCCTAGTCGCCGCTGTGCTCTTGGCCTACTGGTTCCTGTCTATGTTCCTGGGGGGTTTCTTTTACCTGCTGCACGCTGTGTTTGGACGCTTCTTCTGGCTAGCCCGCGTCACTCTCTTCGCCCTATCCTGCCTCTACATCCTGCAGAAGTTTGAGGGTGACCCTGAGCGCGCAGTGCTCCCGTTGTGCTTCATCATGGCTGTGTACTTCATGACAGGCCCTGTGGGAGCATACTGGCGCCGTGGCGGTGGGGCAGGTTCACTGGAAGAGAAAATCGACCACCTGGACACTCAGATCAGGCTGCTCAATATCAGGCTGAGTCGTGTAATAGACACCATTGAACGCACCGGAGACCAGTAGGCACATTTTAGGTTGAAGCAAAGATGAGTTTGGGGGGTGGGTCCAGGGGAAAAACTGATGTATTTGATAAGAGAATACTGTCTCCTACACACATCTACAGCAACAAAACTACTGGGTATTTACAACTCTATTGTCAGTTGGGGACAAAAGTACAAATGAAAACAGTATTTTAATGGCTTGAATTGATTTGGGTAACAAGAGAAACTGTTGAATTGGAGCTTGCACAAAACCAAACAACTTTTTTTTTTTCCCTTGATTTTTTTTTTTTTTTTATGTTTTGGAAGGTTTTTTTACATCGCTGAGGAAGTTGTCGGGAGATGTCTGAGGTTTTCTAAATGCTAGCCTACTTCTACACCTCAGCTACTTTTACGAAACTCCTCTATTTAAAATTTTTAAGGTTTGCTTAGGCACTGTCAATGCTTGTGCTTGATTAATAAGCATATTTTACATATATTTACTTAATTTGATCCTTGTAAATGACCTGGGGGTTAAGTCTCAGTTCTTGTCCACAAAAGCATTTTTCCCCCTTTTTTTTCTTTTCTTTTTTTTTTAAGCTACTGCTATAGGAGGGGGTAGGGTGTGTGGTACCGGGGGGCATTGTTGTTTCTAATATGTATATTCCAGCTGTTGGAAAGTTGTCCATAGCAAGATTTATTTATTCAATTTTTCCATCCAAAGTGTTGAAATGTAGATCTAGTTTGTTGAATCACCACCTCATAGTGACAAAAGCTTGACATCAGGACCTCTTTTTCTTGAATATGTGTGTAGATGCAGTTCAGTGACCTACTTGAATATGTGTGCGTGTTTGTGTGCATGTGTGAGGGGCAACCTTGTGAAATGGAAAAACACTGTATAAAAAGTCAACACCAGACAGGCAGCAATATCTCAGGGACTCACCCAACACATGTTGAACTCAAATGAGATATCAAGTATGCTAAAATCATGTATTGGTCTCTTCACAATTCAGATGCGACTTCTCATTTGTTTCCAGCATCTTACAATACTTTCTGTTGAAATGCTGGAGTTTAAATCTAGCCTTTTATTCTTTATTTAAATGCCAGCATGGGGTTATTTTGGTTATCTGAACTGTAGCTAATCGTCCTAAATATGTAATCTGTCTCAACACAGACGCATCTGTTATGGTAAGAATTTTTAATCAATTGTAATAGGATCTGACCTGAACTTGCAGATTAAAAAGGTTTTAGTGACTTTAATACTGCTGGGGGAAAAATTGTATTGGATATTACTTAACCCTGCTTTTGAAACTAATATGAAAGTGATTATTTCTCCTATGAGTATTTTAATGGTAGTTTAAAACCAGCCTGCCTGATTCATGCACTAAAATGTTGTGTTTAAAAAGTAATGCTTTGGGTACATTGTTAGTCTGCATCACCATAGCTCTCACTAATTGGTTTGATATATTCTTTTTCTTTTAATTGTATATTTCTGAAGGTGGTTTTCTCTCATCATCTCATTTGTTAACATGGATTGGTGTAAGAGAATGTCCCCTGCACTGCTTGTCTATGTTTATAGCATGTCTTCCTTAATAATGTCCCAACATCCTTTACTCTAAATTAAAGTTATTAAATCTGAACTCCATAATCACAGTTTTGTTATAACAAATGACCCTAATGCTGTGCAGATCTTTCTTTTGGAGGTGGTGGTGGTGGTGCTGATGGTTGGATGAGTTCATACATCAAACATCATGATTGTGTTAATCATTTTGATTAACAACTACCAGTATATGTAGTGGGCTGTAATTTCGTTTCTCTCAATAGTGTGGGTGCTATGACATGCATTGTAAATGAAAGGTGTTGTATCAACCGGTCAGGGTTGCAGTGGCCTTCTGGCTTCAGAGTATACAGGGTGCATCAAAGAGAATCATCTGATTTAAAAGTGCTTTAATTCCGTAGGTGTTCACAGGTAACATGTTGAGCACTTGTGAACATTGTAGGTTTTCTATGTAAAACTTTAAATTCAGCCATACATTTTAAAATTTACTGCTGTCTCCTGTATGTATATCTTTAAAGAATATAGCCGTTAGAATTGGATGGTTCTTTTTTTAAACGCCCTATATAGTGGACTTTATCATACAATTTGTATTTGCTTATATACTATTGGGAGAAAAGCTCCACCCACCAACTACTTTTATTTTGAAGTCTGTTACTGTACTTTTAAGGGTCGTTTTTGGGGTTTTTTTTCTTCAAACCGATACACTAATAACTCTGTACCTTGAAACCATGATTTCTTTGTAGGTTGTTATACCATGAAAATCTCATCTTGTGTAATTTTATGCCAAGTATAGAAAAATGAACTTGTTAACAGATTCCCAGCGCTGTGTGATAATTCCCATGGAGTTTAGGTTGTCATTAAACTCCATCTCAGAATTAAGCCTGATGATGGCAAACTTCAATAACTATATAAACTCTTAGTGTCTCCTTATTTTGCCCAGAGTGCCATCAGCCAGCCCAGGTCACCCATATATCCCGTGTAACTGGAGATTTTCCTGCATGCTTAACTTTTATGCCTATAATGTTGCATTGCATTACAGTATATTCATGTTATTGACTGCCTAGGCAGAGCCCTTAAGTATGTGTGACGGGGTTGAAATAGCCAGAAGTTAATTACTTTTGGAATTGTGTTATAAGTGTTGTTCTTCTGCACTGATGATTAAACTGTGTATGCTGTTTGCTATCATTACAATCCTGAGCCGGACAGACTCTCTCCCATCATTCCATTATCACTGTGTCGCTGACATGGAGTCAAATTTTAACGTACTTAAAACAAAATTATCATTTTATGAGCTGTAAATGAACAGTCTGGCCAGTGACCTTTGTTTAACTACTGGCAGCATGTGAGGTAAATAAAGGTATAGTGTGTGATATTGATGTATGTTGATGGGTTTTAGTATATGATGGTATTATATTGAATTCGGAAAAGGCCATGCGGTTGGTTTAGAGCGAATTCAGGATTTTGGTGGCTATTTATCAGACTTTAAATTCTAGACACTGAAAACTGTTTAAAAACAGATACAACTTGAAACAGTTTCTCTTTAAAGTACCCAGAAGTTCTTACACTGCTGTCTAACATCTTGAAAACACTCACAAACCAGCTCCAAGAGGGAGGTGTTACCATTCCTTTTAGATATTATGGAAGCAATTGTTCATGTTTTAAGTTGCTGGCAGCTGTATGTCTCTTCATTTACCATGTAGATGTCAAAAGATGCCAGTAGATCCTTCTCGGCATAGAATATATGCTGCATTCAAATTCTATTTATTCCATGTTAACAACATCATCTGAATGACATGTACTTCTTTCTTTTTAATGTACTGTATCTTGTGTATTTCTCTGTTTTCCACATAGCCTGCTTTTATATTGTGCTGTGCCAATAATGTTTTCTTTTATTTTTACTTCACTTACTTTCTTTTGTTATTTGTAACTGCTGATTTTAGAGTAGATGCAGATGGCTTTTCTTTTTCATATCACCACTTAATGTTTTTAGGCCTTTTTCTTTCTTTCTTTGTTTTTAATGAGTATTTTTCTACTCAGTTGTTGTTTGAAGAGCCAAACTATTCTGCCTGCTGTTACTTTCTGTTTGGATGTTTGTGTTTATGAAAACCTGTCAGTGGGGATGCAGTTCTTTTTGTGCCAGAGTGAAAATGAGGTCCAGATTTAAATAAACACCAGATTATGACTGAATGTCTTCCACTTTATGATTCATTAATAATTTTAAGATCTAAAGTTTGTTTGTGCATGTGTGTGTGTGAGAGAGAGAGAGAAGGAGAAACACATTGCTTCATGCTCAGTTTCATAATACACGATAAAAGTAAATGGCTATTTGGTTTGCAATTCTTCACCTAAACAATTGCTTCAATATTGTAGTATAGCTAGTAAGTACTGGAAGTGTTCTTTCAATTATATTTCTAACACTAGGTGGTGCTAAAAGGTTTTATTTGGTTGCTAAAAGGCCGTGATTGTTTGGGAATAGGTGCTCCCATTCAGCCAGATTGGGAATTAAATGATCACTTTTGGCAGCAGTTATCCCAGAAAAAATACACGATACTGTAAAAAGCTGTATATGCACCTATTTACACTCAATACTCTTATTGTAAGAAAGTGCTCAGCCTATAGTTCAACCTATAGTTCCAGTATGACCATCACAAATGGAAAGAGCATTACTGAAACAGTGAAGTAAGGATTGGAAACAGTGGGAAAACAGTGATCTCAAAACAGGCTTTTGTGGTAAAGCAAAACAAATAACCTTCAGAAAATTGCCAGTGCCTGATGAGAGAAAAATGAAGTTGTACTTGGCAGCTTTCCTGTGTAAACTTTATCATCATCATTTATTTATTTATTTATTTATTTATCTATATAGCATTTTAAAAACACACCTGGTAGACCAAAGTGCTGTACAACTTTACCAACAGGAGTGTTTTGTTTTGTAGATTTGCATCTCTCAAATTCATGGTATTACTACAAATAGTTTCATATAACCGTGTTATTAACCTGATGAATTTAAAGCAGTCCTACGCAAGGTGGTGGATAAAATATAAGGCTGTGACCTAGATAAAAAGTCATCAGACACAAAGAGCAATAAAGCTTTACCACTATGACACGAAATGCTTTTATTGCTGTATTATACGATATCAAACACACAGAATGAACTGAGTCATCTGGCAGCTTGACAAATATCCAAACAAAACTAAATCTCACCTTCTCTACCACTGGTTTTCTTCCCCAAGGGTAGATAGAATAACTGCTGTGGGGACTCCTTAGCACCTTTTGACAGAACAATCCATCATACTTGGAACAATCCATCACCGAAACTCATTAGTTTCCTTGCAATCTTTAGTTGCTACCTATCATCTATCTGGAACAAGCCCATTTTCAGCAAAGACTACACCAACATTCACTCCCCCGACACTTTATTATATACGCTATGGTGGTACTGGGTCACTTTTGACTTCAGAAGGGACCTAATACCGAATGACATGGATTCAGTGAATTGCTGGAAACTTTCCTTAGAGATTTTGATCCATATTAACATGATAGCAGCTGCTACAGATTTGTTGGCTGCACATCCACGACATCTCCTGTTTCACCACATCCCAAAGGTGCTCTACTAGATTGAGATTTTATGATTGTAGAGGCTGCTTGAGTACCATGTCATGTTCAAGAAAGCAGTTGTGATTTATTCGAGTTTTGTGACATGGTGCAGGACGTCGTCAGCTACAATACTCAGGTAGGCTTTGGTATTTAAACAACGCTCAGTTGGGACTGAGGAACCTAAAGCACGTCAAGAAAATATAGACACCATTATACCACCATAAGAGGATACAAGGCAAGATGGATCCATGCTTACATGTTGTTTACACCAAATTTTGAGACTAAAATTTGAACACTACGCAGAAATCAAGACTCATCAGACCAAGCAACATTTTTCTGATCTTCTATTATCTACTTTTGGTGAGTTCATGTGAACTGTAGCTTCTGGTTCCTGTTCTTAGCTGACAGCAGCGGCACCTGGTGTGGTCTTTGCTCTAGCCCATCTACTTCAATGTTTGACAGGGCGTGCGTTCAGAGATGCTCTTCTGTAAATCTCGGTTGTAACAAATTGTTATTTGAGTTACTGTTGCCTTCCTATCAGCTCAGATCGTTCTCTCTATTCTCCTCTGACATCAGCAAGGCATTTTCACCCAGAGAGCTCCCACTTGCTGGATATTTTCAATTTTTAGATAGCCATAGTGATGGCTGTGTGGGAAAATCCCAGCAGATCAACAGTTTTTGAAACACTCAGACCAGCCTAACTGGCAAAGTTGAACAAATGTACCTAATAAAGTGACTCTGAGCATATTCCACAGATGAGCATCCATATGTTGTATCTGAACTCATCTCGCAGCAGATAAAATATAAGTTAGTCATTGTGGTTCTCATCCCTGACCAAAACCTTTTTGTTTGATTAAATTGGAAGCTTAAGCAACAACTGTCCTTGTGACAGATGGCCATCTAGATCTGTAAAACAAAAAAGGTGAATGCTGCTGTATTTAAACTGTTTAAACCTACACTGTAAATACAATAATAGTTTGTTTCATATCTCCAAAACAAGTTCAGTTATTTATGAAAAGGGTTGCTAAACTGCAGCGTGTACTTCAGCATCTGCAACACTTAAATTCTTCATCAGCCTTGATTAAATAAGATCTAAAGTAACTGCTGGAAAGTTTTATGTGGACAGCCTGCACAGCATTTCAACTTTAGTTTTGCAATATTTCGTATTTTCCGTGTTTACTGAGTCAACGTTTTATTAAAAAAGTGGAATTACTCTGGTATTTTGCATAGTACTTTTAAAAATTACAGTTAACACTACAAAAAACATTCAACTATCAGCTGCTTTTCACAAAAATATCAGGATCTCTATCTTTTTTTAAAAAGAAAAAAGTCTTTGTCCATGTACGTTTACATGGCAACCAGATGTGTTACAGTTTGGTGTTGTACTGACCTGATCTTTAAACCCCAACAGGTTGACGTTAAAATACAAACTAATAAATATTATCAGCATACAAACAAGCTCTTTTGCTGACATCACATTTGCTGACAAACAAAAAAAACAAAGAAAAAAAAGAAAGATCAGGAAACAAAAAACGATTGCTTATTCTGGGCTTCAAATTCTCCTTCATGGCTCATGATGTATAAAAACTGACCAAACAGCAGGTTCACTCCTCCTCTTTTCACCGTGCATTAGTTTGTATTTAATTGAGTGCTTAAGTTCTTGTACTGTTAATTATGAGACATCCACTCAATCTGATCCTTTGTAATCTGGGCAGTTCAGTTTGTCAAAAATAATCCACTAGTCCAGTTGTTCAGTTGTTAAGATTAATTAGCACCACCTAGTGCCAGAACTGTCAGTGGTAGAAAACAGTGACCAAACTGCAATCATCTCACCAACAAAAGCAAAACAACATCTGCACCAAACTATAGCAGCTCATAAAATTTTGTAAATATTACTTTGGGCTAAATAGACAACATCAGCCAGACAAAGTAAGTCAATGTATACAGAGCCTAGACCAACAATACAACAGCGAGAGGCTGTCTAGTAGTTTTTGGCAATTTAGTTAACTGTGCAAGAACTTGAACCACTCAATGTAAACTACAATCACCTATTGGAATGGCTGTTTACCCTCATGGTACATATTTCTAAATAAAGTGGCAGTTTATATATAAAAAAAAAAAACAGGTAAATCCTGCCCTCCATCATGTTACTCTGGTGGTGACTGTAGGTATGATTTCCTGTTTTTAGTCCCCATGAAGAGTATCTATGATGGACATCCATGGTGGGCCAGTATTGGACAAAAGTTGCATCTTCCATACGTCATTATTGTCGCCTCTTTTCACTGCATGGCAGTCTAATAAATCAAAAATGTTTATAGAAATAAAGTCTGTAAAAAATAAATAAATAAAATAAAATGACTTGATTTCCATAGCCAGCGATGCGTTCTCGCTGAGTCTCTGGCTGTTCACATTATAATTCACACCTGGCACTCCTTGGGTGTCAAAAACGTGCCACAACTTTAACATCCAGACCCCCTGCACCACCTGCACCAGAACTCTGAGCCTGCTGTGGTCCCTGGTCCACCTGGATATGATGAACGCCATTGTTAAAGCTGGCACACAACAGATTGCTGGAATCACTCGGTGCCAACGAAACC